CGCCAAAGCTTGAAGATTCAGTTCACCTTTCCTCCTGAAGCGCTCTGCCTGCACCTGCCGCAGGACAAGGTGGAGGCCGAAGGCATGGTCTACACCGAGTTCCTGAAGGCGATGAAAAAGCAGAAGCGCCACTAGGCATGAAACAGCACGATGGTGGCTGATGCCTACCTCACACGTGCAGTGAGCACAACCTGGGCTCCAAGCCATTCCTATTCCTTCCTGAATCCTTGTCAAGGCTTTTTCTGGCTACTTGTAGGACTGTGCGGGTGGGTCTCCACGTGCTTGAGGCTACCACGTCGAAGTCTACTGAGACCTGGGACACATGCCCACGGAGCTTGGCGATGTTCTAAGCAGATGCCGCACAAAACCGCGGGCAGGGCTTTTCCTGTGTCTTTGCACCGAATCATGCCTGGACAGTCGGGCTGTTGACAGAAGATGGCCGCAAGACCTCTTCAAGACTCCATTTCTCCACCTCCAGGAGTGTTGGCGAACAAACAAATTGTGTTGCCACAAATCACGTGAGCTCCCACTCTTCCACTTGCTGCAAGAACGTCAAAAGGAAAATCCGCTAACAGTTCTGACTTTACTTTATGGTAGCGCGCGGGGCATCGGACTGCTTAGCGACCGGAACCCCAGCATGCCAGAACTGGTCAAAGACCAGTGACATGATGTGCAGCATCTCGGTTTTCACGGCCTGCCAGCATGGTGAGGAATTGTAGATGTCTCAGTAACCAGTGCACGGGTGCCCATGCTGGAGATGGCCTTCGAGTCGTCAGAAGCCGCTTCCTACAAAGCATGGCTCTGAAACCATGTACGGATCTAGCACTGACACAAAGGCGGGAAGGATTCGGTACGTGTCTTGGTCGAGTACTTATGTCGTTATGCGGTTATGCAACGGCCAGCCCGGACACCCCGGAGCCTCCTTGGCCCAAAGCCGAGCTCTTCCCAACCCGCTCGGTCACCACTCCCACGCTGCCAAGATGCCTTCGGCTCGAGAAGCTTGGACAGCACTTTTCTTTTCCCTTCATAAATACTTTGAAGCAAGCTGCAAGAATGCCTTGAACTGCATTGCAAATCTTTGCAAGCTCAGGACGCTCCTGTGGTTGCCGCCTGCGCTGCAGCCGGCCTCAGCATGGCTTTTGTGGCTTCTCAGCCCTCCCAGCCGCAGGCGCAGAGCATGACACCCGACAAGCTTCCCAACACGTGGCTCTTACAAGGCAAGCCAACCGCCGACATTGCGCGGTGTGACTACGTCATCAACAGCAAGCTCAGCTTGGGGAAGTGGGAGGACTGCTTTCCCCATGCGGGTTTGTTCACATGGGCACAAGCTATACTGAGAAAGAGCTGCTGGGTCTGTCGGGTACTGTCAAGACTCCATACTCGCAAGAGCACTCCCCCTGACCCGATCATTCTCGTGTGAAATGGAGGACATTGGCAGTTGGAGCTGTGGCAGCCGCTGCTGTTGTCGGACGTGGTGCCTTGTTGCAGCGCCGTGCTACCGCAGCATCTCGGTGAACATGCATTGGGTGCTGTGATACCTGCTGGATTAGCAGCAGCAGCAGCAGCAGCAGCAGCAGTAGCAGTCGCCGTCACTGTTCTCGTCCTGGCCGTCGTCGTCCTCGTCGCCGCCGTCGTCATCCTCGTCCTCGTCCTCGT